GGTCCATGGTCTGCAGGAGCCGCAGCAACTGGGAGATTTGCGGAGGCAGGAGGTCGAACCACCGGACCTTGATGGCATCGTCACTGACGTTGTCGCCGGCGAGGTGGCGCATGTGGCGAAGAAGCTGAGACGGCGTGCGGTCGCTCTTAGTGAGGCCGGAGAACAGCTTCTGCAGCCTCCACGGTGTCGCCCAAACGAGCGATGACGTGCTTCTTCAGCTGCTCGTATTTACCGGTAGCGGGTGGCGTCCTCAGCACATCCTGGAGCTCCTCGATCGTGTCCTGGTCCAACTCTGCTAAGGCGGCGTAGTAGCGCTCGTCGTCCGAGTACATCCTGTAGTTTATGAAGATGGCCTCTAGCTACACGAACCAGAGGTCCGGGCATCGACGCGTGAAGGGTGGATAGCGGGCAGGTTGGCGTCCGGCGTCGCTGAGCTGGCCGGCCTCGGTGTAGGTGCCGGCGGCGGTCAAGGCGTCGGAGGTCGGCGTGGGGGCCGGTGCTGTATTCTGGCGCTCAGTGTCGCGCTGGGAAGCCTCGGCGCGTGTGATGGGCATCTTCCTCTCTTTTCTTTCCTTTTTTGAAGGCGAAGAGGTGCCGGTGATGAAGGAAAAAGTTAGTACTTACACGACGATGGGTGGCGCCTGAGAACACGTGGCGTTGATGAGCACGTGGTGATGAAGAACATGTGGTGTTGAAGAGCACGTGGTGCTGAGAAGCCCGTGGTGTGAAGAGCACGCGGGGCTGCCGAAGATGGTCCTCGGGATCACGTCGGGGTCACCAATTTGGGAATTTCCTTCCCTAAGTTACTAGGCGCGTTAAGGTGCGTTCTCCTTAACGCGAGGAACAGGCCGCGGAGAAAGGAATGGGCCAATGAGACTCCGTGTGGAGAAAAGAAATTTCCGATTATGTTTTTGATCCCGTGGGACGATATTTTATTTATCGGCGTGGTGTGCCACGTGGTCACGTACAAAAGATGCACAGAAAATACTTTTTACACAAGAGCGCGATGAGAAGAGTGCGACCGGACGGTGCGACGGACGAAGTGAGAGTGATGATATTTTTCTGCGTATTCACCGCCGCGGCGATCCAGGCATCCGGAAGTAGAGAGAGCAACGGTCGCAGTGGTCACTCTTCCGCTCTGACCAATTAAAGGCGTGGTCAGGCTAATCAGATGCCCCTGCGGAACCGCGTCACGAGGTGCTTGCGTATGTTAGTGCTGGCGGCCGAGAGGTGTCAGCACTTTTCTACGCGCGCTGCTACAGCCGCGCGCTGTTGGCCGAGAGGTGTCGACACTGCGCTGGTGCGAGACGCCACAGTATAACTGAATATACCATATGTTGCTCGGAGAGGAAGTGGCAACATCGCACCATACTATGCGACTATCTTTCTCCCTCTCTCTCTCTCTTCAACACATCCTATACTACCTTCAGAGCGGAGAAGAGCAGTTTGCGTCTCTCTCCCTCCATCACAACGACCCAAGAGGGAAAGAAGAGGAGAGGCAACTTTACTCCCCTCTCTCTCTCTTTCCTTCTTACATAGCGCGTTGCTATGCCCTTCACGGCAAGATCGCCTTGTGTTTACACGCAAGGGCGTTGTTTTTCCTTTTTTTTTTTTTTATAATAATAAATAAACGCGCTATGTTTTCTCTCTTGTGTCGTGTGATATAATTTTGATGTTTGTTGGAAACGTATATGTACCCTACTCTGTCCTTTATCTTTCCTTTCTTTCTTCCTCTCTTACTCTCCCTCGTGTGTAAACAAACAGCGTCTTCTAGTTCGAACACGTTTAAGCATTCGTATCTATTTTTCTAGAAATATTTATATGGCGCAACTTTCAATATTTTTCCTTCCTTTTCCTCTTTTTTTAATTTAACATTTTGAACGGAAACCCTTTTTTTTTTTTCTTGAATTGTAACACGATTTTAAGAGAGAGAAGAAAGAATAAAGATTTACGAGAGCTCAGAGTCTTGCCCACTTTTCTACCTTTTTTCCTTTATATCTATTTTATTATTAATTTTCCAAGCACACTTTCGATAAGAAACAGTTATCGAACATGTACTTACTTTTTTTTTTTTTTTTTATATTTTACTATTAATTTTCCAAGCACACTTT